CCCCAAAACCCCAAAACCCCAAAACCCCAATGATAAATTAAAGTTTATAATTGATTAAATGATTATAATAAAAATAATCATAAAATGAATTAGAAGTCAGATTTAGAGCAATAAGAACTGGAAGATAAAAAGGAGTTTGATGATTAAAATCAACAGTAGCATAGATAGTCCAGTGCTTAATTGCAATTGATGCAATATAGATAGATGATGCAGCAGCGTTTGAGTAAACAGAACATTCAGGGAAGTGAGGATAGCAGCGGCTAAAGTAAAAATAGTGCGCAGAACTAAAGCATCAGCAATAATCAAAATAATCTTACTTCAAGTGCTTAGAATAATATTACTACTAACCCTCTTCTGTCAAAGCTCAATAAATAATAGAATTTCAGCAATAATAACGGCAAATACAAACAAGAAATAAATGGTTCATCCCAGGATTACAATCCTTATCTTCATGGCTCCTAAAATAACCTCAAGCGAGAAGAAAACAATTCTCCTCCTCCAGCCCTAGTGCCTCCAGAACAAATTAAAGTAGAGCATATTCCAATCAAAATTAGCTATGATTTTACTAAGAAAAGTAAGAATATGAAGCTACTCAACGAAGGCTAGTTGGACAACTTTGAGTACAGTGAGAGATGCGATAGTAAGATTGAGGAAGGTGACTTGAAAAAGCTAGAGATCGAACTTAAAAAAAAGTAAAGGAGGAGAATAAAGAATGAATAAAGAGCTTTGATTAATACAGGCCAGCGTTCCTCTGAGTAAAATTATCCTGTCTTAATACCTTTAGTGCAATGGGTAATGGTAATAACAACGGTAATTAGCTCGGTAGCATTGTAGACGAGGAAGGGAATGTAATCAGACCATACGACAATCAATAAGTAGATCAGTTGATTGCTGATGAAGGATACTAACCCCTCTTAAATTAAAATAGTATTCATAGGATAGTGTATAATTTTTCGTTAGATAATTAAAGACCAAGTGTTGAAGAAAGATAGTATCTGCGAGGTATGATAAGAAGGACCAATTAGGGACGGTTCGATATACTGTGCATCAAGGATCTAGACAAGCAGTTTCTCTTCTTGTTTGGTTTGACCCTTCTCTTGTCCATATTCATTTTGATATTTGCCCTTGTATGAAAATCCTGTCTGTGCATGAAATTATCTTAAAATCCAATAATTTTAATATCTATAATATTCTTAAGCTATCATTTTCATTTTCTTACAGTTTTAAAATATTATTGAGAGACTAGCAATCCAAGATGCCTGAGGAAGATGGAATAGTAGATAAAGATCATTGTGAGTAGAATAAACAGTAAGGGCCGTTAGCTCAGTGGTAGAGCATTCGACTGCAGATCGAGAGGTCGCTGGTTCAATTCCGGCACGGCCCTCTCCTTTTTATTTCTTTTCCTAACAAATTTATTTTATTTTTTCTCACTCTTTTATTCCAAGTTATGCACCTCAAGGGGTTTTGGGGTTTTGGGGTTTTGGGG